CAAGGTAAACATGGGTTGGAAGAGGCTGAAACAGGCACAGGGAGAGGGGGGATTTTCTCTGTTTAAAGGCTTGAGCATTTGCTGCTGTTGTTGTACCAGGACGGAGTGTTGAGATCACACCCAGTTCAGCCTTTCTGGGAGACTCGTTCAGTTGCTGGTATCAAATCAGGTCTACAGCCCTTTGGAAACATCTGGGTGTCCTCTCTGGGAGTGTACCCATTTGCAGTCTTCTCAAAATATCAAGAGGCACATGTGTAATTAGGGCATGGTAGCTGATTTCTTGGTGTTTTTTATTGTGAGCAAAATGTGGCTGGTTCCCTCGAGGAGCACGGACTGGACGAAACGTGGTGCAGTGGATGGACATTTACCCAAGCTGAGTGTGGCCCAAGGTTTGGGGCAAGTGCTGTCACCCCACGTGTTGCTGCCATGGCTACTTGTGGGCACCCAGGTGCACTCCTTCTGCTGATGCTGTCAGCCTAAGCCAAGGTGGGGTAGCAGTGCCTGTGACACTGTGCCACCCTCTGCTCACACCAAACCTGACCTGCCTCTTGTGTTCCTCTGCCTTGGGTCTTCCTTCTCTCAGGGGCTGGTCATTCTTCCCTGCAGGACCACTTCCCTGGAGGACCAGGACATGACTGGGCTGGGCTTAATGCCATACAGGATGCTCTTGATCTTATCTGCAGGAACCTCAGTCTTCTGGCTCTTAGCAGAGCTCACGGCGTTCTTCAAGTCTGGTATAAATAGTAACACTAATAAAGGGAGCTCATCATATTTCTCTTATGCTCTGCTCTTGTGCAGCCCGTGTGTTGTACCCATGGGTGGTGTCTGAGCTCTTGCCAAGGTGTCTGCAGCCTGGCTGGCATCTGTCCCTTCTACACGTGGTCCACAGGACAGATTGATGGAAGTACCTTTATAGATCTTTGAAAGCTTCTCAGTGCATTTTGGCATGGAAAAGTGCACCATGTTTCCATCATCATGGCCTAATTTGCATCCCACATAAGTCAGACAAATCCCCATCAATTTGATCAGCAGCAGGTTCAGATGATAACTGAGTTTCCTTTGCTCCCCCCCACCTCCTTTGCTGTTTCTCGTGTGGTCAAATATCACTAATGCACGTGGCTGTGAGCAAAGATTGTCCTGTGATATTTTCCTGTATTTTAAGCAGACAGGAGCACCTGTCCTGACACCTAGTTTGGGTTTTTCAGAGCTGTGGCACCTCTCAGGAGCCCGGTGAGGAAGAGGAGGTGAGCTCACGGTGGGAATTGCACCACTCATTCACCACACAGGAAAAATGTATCCCCCAAAAGGGTTGTCAGGCCCTGGAACAGGCTGCCCAGGGAGGTGGTGGAGTCACCATCCTTGGAGGGGTTTTACAGACATACAGATGTCTGGGGACATGGTTTAGTGGTGGGCTTGGCAGTGCTGGGAGGACGGTTGGACTTGATGATCTTAAAGGTCTTTTCCAACCCAAATGACTCTGTGATTCTAGGATGATTTGATGTCTCAGAAACGAGATAGGAAATACAGTCACTTCCATCCAGATTGCAACCTGGTAGCACAGTGCAACAGCCTGGACTGACATGAGTTGTCAATCCTGGTGACTTCTGTAGCAAAAATTGCATGTGAAAGGATAATTGGATCCAGCCCTGATTTGACTTGGCAGAGCATCCAACACAAGGAGAAACCAAGGAACTTACATACTGTTGCTGACAAGGTTAGCTGGGGAGGCTACGTGAAAGAAGTGGGTTTTCAAGCAGTGTTTGGACAGAGGGTGGAGATGGGGTACACAAAAATAAATTGGCCATAATTATGCTTAAGAAAACCATCTTCCTGCAGAAGGAAAGAAAACCAGAAGATGGAGTGTAAGTGGCATATTGTGTGATGTGAAGGGAAACAAACTACTTGGATTTTTTTATAACCACCAATTTTCAATGCAAAAGTGTTATTACACTCTGATTATTTGTGCAATAGCAGCACTGAGCAAAAAGATCCAGTGAGAAAATGACACGTGTGCACAAACACATCCACACAGGGAGGAGCTCATCCTGGAAGGAGCCTCAAACCTTTTTTGCCCTTTAGGATTTTGGATGGTTTAGGCCTGTTGGATGATGGGTGTTTTCTAAGATTTTTTTTTTTTTTTTTCTTTTCATTAGCACAGTTCCTGGTGCTGTATATTCTTATGTCCAGCATTTTTAAGTAGAGAACAGTGTAGTTTGTATGGCTCTTGTAGCCTGGCTTGGTGGGATGGTCTAGCTCTGGTTGCCATCATCCTGCTGCTGGCTCTTTGTGAGGAGAGATCCCCATGCAGATGTTCTCACCAGTGGTTGTCCATGAAAGTCACAGGGGATGGATCATAGCATCAGAAAATCCAGGCATGGCAGGTTGGAAGGGACCTCAGGGATCATCTGGCCCAACCTCTCCAGGCACTGCTCTAGTTGACATGAGGTGGCTCAGCTCCCTGTCAAGCTGAGACTTCAAACTTCCCAATGTGGGGGAATCCACCACTTCCCTTGGGAGACTATTCCAATGTTGGACTGTCCTCATAGGGAAACATTTACCTCTTGTGTCCAACTGGAATCTCCCCAGGAGCAATTTGTGCCCATCACCCCTTGTCTTTTCCATGGGACTCCTTGTAAACAGGGAGTCTCCATCTTCTTGGCAGCCACCCTGTAAGGACTGGAACATGGTGATAAGGTCTCCCCTGAGCCTTCTTCCAGGCTGAACAAACCCAGTTTTCTCATCCTCTCATGTGGCAGGTCCTCCAGTCCTCTGATCATCCTTGTGACCCTTCTCTGGGCCCTCTCCAGCCTGTCCCATCCTTTTTGTAGAGCAGGGACCAAAACTGAAGACAATACTCCAAGTGTGGTCTGCCAAGCACTGAGAAGAGCAGGATGATGACTTCTTGATCTCTGCTGGTGGTTTCTTTGCCCTTCAGTGCACTGTGCACTCCTGGTGAGCCTGTTACCCACCAAAACCCCCAGGTCCCTTTGCACAGGACTGCTCTCCAGCCAGGTGGATCCCAGCCTGAGCTATGCTCCTGGGTTATGAATGGGAGAGCTACCTGCACTGGTGCAGCACAGGCTGGAATATCAATAAGGGTTATTTTTTTAAAAAAAGAAAAAAAGAGCAGTTCTCCAGGCAGCTGGGAGAAACCTGAGGAAGTAAGCAGTGGTGCCTAGTTATTAGAAGTTAGAAACAGACTGCTGCCAGACTCAAAATATAGTTAAAATGTCATCAGTTAAGTAATAAAAAGCTCATTCCTTCCTTAGACTGAAGAGCTATTATGCTGCAACTCAATCCACCAGATTTTGGTGGCATGATAGTCCCTTGGAAATGGAGAAGTTTACAGCTGAGGGACTGACCCAGACTTCTCTTGTGTGTGACTGCGAAGTCTGGTCTGTTGTTTTGCTCAAGTTGTTTAAAACGTAACAGTTGCTATTTTGAACCACGGTCCATATGATTTCTCTTTTCATTAAGTGCTAATCACAACCATGTCTGCTGTCTGCATGCGAGAAGAACTTCAGGCATGTTTTCCATTTCACAATCTGACAAAAACCTCAACACTCAACGGAGGGGGAAGCATTTTATACTGAAAAGAATGGTTTAAGAAAAAAAAAAAGCTGAGCTGCGTTTCTTTATGTGTCAAATATGTCTCCAGTTCACTTATGTCAAACAACCATTTATCCTAAGGATGTTGAGGTGCTTGTGGATGATTTATTGATGGATTCATTCTTTGCTGGATTTTTTCAGTGGTTGTAAGTGAAGGACACTTATCCTGGATGGTTTCATTATGCTAGGATCCTGTTGACCTTGTGTTTTTAAAGCATGCTGGTAGATCAAATGTGATTTTATCCTCTTTATAGATATGCCTGGTAATGGCCAAAATTTAAGAAAAAAGACTCCTGTGACTTTTTTTGATCATTTCTAACCTGGAGGAATAGCACAACTGTTCTGTCAAAGGAATATGGAGTAGCTCCCAAGATGTTTTGACTTGCACATGGTAAAAAAGACCCAAACCAAACCTGGAAGCATTCTCACTTACATGCTTGACCTTCCTTTGAGCCATATTTTAAGCCCAAGATCAGCAGGACGAGCGGAGTGAGATTTTAATCTCTGTAATTTCCCTGTAAATCCGGAGTCGTTTCACTAGGGGTTACTTGGGTTTTCTCAGCCTCTTTTTCATGGGTGATTTATCCTGGGCTTGAGCCAGGGTGGTGTTTGGATGATACATGGTGCTGACTAGTGCAAGCAGGTCATCTGCAGAAGCAGGACGGTGCACGAGCTCCCTGAAAGTGCTGTCTTCTGTAGGGCAGGGGGTACCCAGCTGTGTGCAGCAGCTCTGTGCCCCTCCACATCCAGCAGCTCACAGGGACAGGGGTATCGCCCTGTGCACTGTCACACCATGTTTTGGAAGCTGTGGGGACAGCACGGCAAGGGGACAGCTGGCCAGCTCCTGCAGCACGGGCAGTTCTGGGGTCTGTAATCGAGAGGGAAGTGCAGCTTAGTCATGCACAGGGCGCCCGGGGTTGATGAGCAACAGCACTTGCAGTTTTCTGAAGAGTTATTATAACAAACACACAACACACACGCTCGTGGAGGGTTAGAAAGACATTTGCAGAGGCTGTGGTGAGTGACTACCCCTCCAGCCAGACTTTTGCAGTGTTGATTTCAAGGAGCTGACGACGAGATCGCTGTTAGTACGGAGGGTTGGCTTGAGTTGAAAGTAAGGGAGAACCATCTAGCCCCTCGCGCGTTCCGTTCCTCGGGATGCAGCTTTTGAAGGTGTAGAGATGGGCAGCAGGGATGCACGCTGCAGCCTCACCCCAGCCCTCCTGTGTCCACCACCCTCGGTGATGTCCAGGAGGGCCCAGTGCCTTCATTCGCGTTGCTCTTTTCCCGCGACGTTGCTTCCGCGACTTGAGATTTCGGGGCAGCGAAAGACGTGGGGTGCCAGTCTTGACGTTTGTTTTGTTTTGTTTTGTTTTGTTCCTGTCCTGCAGAATTCCATCCGGCACAACCTGTCACTCCACAGCCGATTCGTCAGGGTGCAGAACGAAGGCACCGGGAAAAGCTCTTGGTGGATGATCAACCCCGACGGCGGAAAAGGCGGCAAAGCGCCCCGGCGACGCGCCGTGTCGATGGACAACAGCAACAAGTACACCAAGAGCAGAGGGCGGGCGGCGAAGAAGAAGGCAGCCCTGCAGACCGCCCAGGAGACCAGCGAGGACAGCCCTTCCCAGCTCTCCAAGTGGCCAGGGAGCCCCACGTCCCGCAGCAGCGACGAGCTGGATGCCTGGACGGATTTCCGCTCCCGTACCAACTCAAACGCCAGCACCATCAGCGGCCGCTTGTCACCCATCCTGGCAAGCACCGAGCTGGATGATGTTCAAGATGATGATGCTCCACTTTCTCCCATGCTGTACGGGAGCCCATCGAGCTTGTCCCCATCGGTAAACAAACCCTGCACTGTGGAGTTGCCCAGGTTGACTGATATGGCTGGGACAATGAATTTGAACGACGGACTGACAGATAACCTCATGGATGATCTCTTGGACGATATAACCCTCCCTCCCTCCCAGCAGTCTCCCACGGGAGGGATAATGCAGAGAAGCTCCAGTTTCCCGTATGGTTCCAAAGGTTCAGGGCTGGGTTCCCCATCGAGTAGTTTCAACAACGCCGTGTTCGGGCCGTCGTCCCTGAACTCCCTCCGCCAGTCGCCCATGCAGACCATTCAGGAGAACAAGCCGGCCACCTTCTCTTCCCTTTCTCATTACAACAACCAGACGCTGCAGGATCTCCTCGCCTCGGATGCACTTAGTCACAGCGATGTCATGATGACGCAGTCTGACCCACTCATGTCACAGGCCAGCACGGCCGTGTCCACCCAGAATTCCCGCAGGAATATCATGCTCCGCAACGACCCCATGATGTCCTTTGCTGCGCCATCCGGCCAGGGTGGGCTGGTCAATCAGAGCCTGCCTCATCACCAGCACCAGTCCCACAGCTCCTCTCTTAGTGGCAGCCGTGCCTTGTCCAGCTCCATCAGTAACATAGGCTTGAGTGACTCAAACAGCTTGGGATCCACCAAACATCAGCAGTCACCCGTCAGTCAGTCTATGCAAACACTTTCTGACCCGCTCTCAGGCTCCTCTTTGTACTCCTCTAGTGTGAACCTCCCGGTCATGGGACACGAGAAATTCCCAAGTGACTTGGACCTGGATATTTTCAATGGGAGCCTGGAGTGTGACATGGAGTCCATTATCCGCAGTGAACTCATGGACGCAGATGGGCTGGATTTTAACTTTGATTCCCTCATCTCAGCTCAGAACGTTGTCAGTCTGAATGTGGGGAACTTCACTGGTGCTAAACAGGCTTCATCACAGAGTTGGGTGCCAGGCTGAAGGATCTTTGAGAACAGGGAAAATGGGCAAACAGGTCAGTGCCCCGTAGATATGGTAAAATCCTTGGTTCCTCAGTTGTGCTGGAGTTCACACCAAACACTGAAGAGTTAGTGCACCCTCATGACGTTGGTTTGGCTTGTGGTGGCTGGTTGTGTGCTGCTCTGCAACAGGAGCAGCCAAGAAACCCTGGGAGGTGTGGAGGGAAAGGAGGCGAAGCTATAAAAGCTGTTCGGCTCCAGCACTGTCAGCACGCACGTGGTGCTGCCTGTCCTTCTTAATTTAGGCGTGAGAAATGCTAATGACAAATCAGGCGAACCAAGATTGGGATGTTTGTGGGCTTTAGGAGTCACACAGCTCCAACTTGTCCTCTTGGAAGTCGCAGCAGATGGATTCTTCTCCGCAGCCGATGGCTGCGTTCCCTAGGGATGGGGCAAGGGGCTTTGCTGTCAGGGGAGCAACGGTGCTGCAGGGGAGGAGGGGGCATATCTTGGCATGTGCTGAGGGTCAGATCTGGGGTGGATTCGAGTTGTGTTGCTGCTGTGGTACTAGGGAATTTGTTTGGGTTTTCGTTAAATTGTGTTTCTTGCCTCCCCCCACAAAAAAACGCAGCCAACGGGGGAATGATGTGTTGAAATAACAAAGGTGGGATCCTGGTCCTGGGTTTAACCCTTTAAATATGCAAACATTGTTGTTCCCCCCCACAGGACAGGGTTGGTATAATCTCCTTTTGGACTCCCCCAAGAGAATATCTGTAGGTTGGGGTTCTGACATAGGTGCTTTTCAAATGTTAGCCTCTTCAGGCGAATTTTTTCCAGATTGATGTGGTTTTTCCGTGGCTTCTTTTCCACAGCTGAGGGCATTTGAACTTGTAAACATTGTTTCTGTCATCCTTTTGTGATTCTGCAGGCTCCTGCCCATGCCTCTGCCTGCCCACACGTACATGTCCCCTGACTCAGGGGTTGGTGCCACACAAAGTGTCTTTTCTCCCTTGCTTATTTATTAGCGTAAGGTAGCAGATTTCAAAATGTAGTAGGATAAAAGGTTAGCTATCAATTATTGAAAGTGTTCTATTAACTTCAGAATAGTGTGTAGAGTATCCCAGCGAGGAGGTTAAACGAGGCATTCATTCTGTTTGGAGCTTGCTTCCAACTTTCTTATTTTCTGGATGGAAAGAGGGAGTCAGTGTTGTTTGACTTTACGGTCCATCATGTGTCCCTTTCGTCTTTGAGTTTTCATTCTCTGTTTCACAGCTGGGTGTTCCAGGGGAAGCTTTGCAGTAGATGAGCAGCAGGGGTGAACCTCCTGAGTGTCTTCCTGCATGTTTGGAGATCTGCTGTCTGAGAGGGACAGCAGGACTGCACAGGAGTCCTCCTTTCTTTCAGCCATTCTGCAAAGCTGCCTCGCTCCCATGGGGTGGGTGGTTTGCACAGTCCTTTCTCTGTCAGTGGGAGGATTTCCTCAGGTCCTTTCAAATCTTCTTGCTCAAAGTGGAGAGAGCTGCAGTACATAGTCAGGAGACAAGCTGTGGAGGTGGGCTGTAGAGGACATTGTGTCCTGCTGACCCTGCATGGGTTGGCAGCTTGGCAAGGCCACTGGCACACCTGAATTCTGCCTCAGTTCCAGTGCTGGAGGACCTAAGGAAGGAAGAGGGAGAAACAAAGAATTGACTTACGAACCAGGAAGCATAAACTTAGAAAAGCTCATGCTTGCTGCTCAGTTCTCTCTTTCTCCAGGTGCATGAGTGGTTTGGATCTTTTTGCATGAGGTGCAATAAAAACAAGAAAGAGGCTGTAGGAACTTCATCGCGTGCGAAACACCCAACAGTACAGTCTGCCAAATGGGGCCTAAAAAAGAGATGTTATTGACAGCTTTGCTTGACACAGGCAAATAGGGCAGCCTCCTGCTTTTGTGTCTTGCCTTTGCTGTGTGTAGGTAGAAGATGCCTGCGGGGAGACCTGCCTAGGCAGCATGGAGGAGGCACAGCACCTCCTCAGCCACGCTGGCTGCTGCCCCTTCACCCACAGAAAGCCCTGATCTCTTCCAGGCTGCTCCCTCCGAATAAAGGACCAGACACATCTGTGTGAGCAGAGTCTCATTGCAGAGGACAGATTTACTAGGCAGCTCTCCTCAGCAGATTACTGTCCGGTCATCTGTGGAAGCCTCTCTCCCTCTCTCTGACAAGCGGGCGGGTTGCTGCGGGGTGCCCCCGGGATCAGGTGCAGTGGCAGATGATTTCTGCTGAGCTGGTTCATCATGAACCCTTCCTTGGCTGCTCAGCAGCACTGAGTGAGACTTTGCCTCATATTCTGATGGGAACACCTCACCTGGGAGTTGGGTGCAGTCGTTCTGAGTTGCTTTCTTGGTTACTTCTCCGGCTGTAAGCAGGAAGGATCCCTGAGTTAAAACCTCCTCCCTGTGGTGTTTGTGGTGCCCACCATGAACCTCTGAAGCCTTGAAGGCTGGGCAGCACGTTCAGCAGAGCAGCCTGGTGCTGGCTCGGGCCAAAGCTGTTTCACCAGGGCAGCCCACGTGCATTTTGCAGGCAGAAACAGTTACAAGGGGGGCTTGGAATGCCTGGAAATAGTGAGTGCTGTGTTTTCTGTGAAAAATTAGAGAAACGTTAAGAGTCAGGTTTGGGGAGGAAAAGCCAAGGAGGCAGGTATTTAGTTCATGCTGCTCTAGGTAGAGAGGGGGGTTTACTTTGGAGGAAAATCAACTACAGTTGCTTCACAGGGGAAATGAAAAAGCCTTTGCAGGAGATGCCCCCCTCGTGGGTTTAGGGGCTGTGCATGTTTGCTGCACATAACCCTGGGCACAATCCCTGGAGAGAGCCTTGCCCTGTCCCACTGCACTTGGCCCTGTGCCCCTGAGGCTGGCCAGGCCATAATTAAGGCTTGCAAATTAATTTAGGTTTGGTTTGGTTTGTTTTCTCTACAAGAAAGGAGAAAATCAATACATTGTTTTCTGGCTTTATTCACTCAGCCATAATTTTCCTCTCTTGAGCTGAGGCCTCAGTTCCTGCTTCCCCAGAGCACTGGATATACCCTCCCCCCACTCAGGTCATCATCTTTATCAATAAATAAAGACATCACTATTCCCTTGCCTGTCTCTAGATTACCTTTTATTTTTAAATCAATGGGTCCTCTCTCAGCCTTTGGTTCCCCCAACTATGCACATTGCTCCATGGTCCTGCTCAGCTGGTGAGTCCCAAGGGATTTGGCATTTGCCAAGGACTAATCCCAAACAGACTGGCAGGGGAAGAAGCTATTTGGGACATTTACTGCTGCCTGGAAGGTCAGGAGCTGGTGACAACTTCTGCTTGGGCAAACATTTCCTCTGGCATCAAAATTAGTCCAAGAATTTTATTTTAACCTTGATTACACAGGCAGCAATGCTGGCAGGGCTTGGGCAGGGGGTGGAGAATGGATCAGCACGAGCAGGGCAGGACCTTCTTCAGCTGGTTTCACCATCTAGAGCTACCAAGCTGGTGAAAGGTCTGGAGAATAAGTCCTTTGAGAAGAGGCTGAGGGAGCTGGGATTGTTTGAGGCTGAGGGGAGACTTCATTGCCTGAAAGGAGGGTGTAGGGAGGTGGGAGTTGGGCTCTGCTCCCCAGTGAGTAATGACAGGAGCAGAGGAAATGGCCTGAAGCTGCACCAGGGGAGGGTTAGACTGGATGTTAGAAAGAATTTCTTTACCAAAAGAGTGGTTGGACAGTGGAACAGGCTGCGCAGGGGGGTGGTGGAGTCACCATCCCTGGAAGTGTTTAAAAGAAATGTTGATATAGTGCTGAGGGACATGATTTAAGCACTGGGTGGGTAGATGAGGTTATGGTGGGGGATTTAGGTTATGGTTGGACTTGATGATCTTCAAGGTCCCTTCCAACCAGGATGATTCTATGATTCTATGATCTGAAAAACTCATCTAGCTGCATCTTCTGAGAGAGACTGCAATGTGCTCTTTAGCAGGATGCCTCTGGGCTCTGCAACAGCTGTGCTGGAGTCACGTTGACTTGTTCAAATATTACAAGTAAAATACTTCACAGATCAGTTAAAGTCATTCATTTTGCTCTAGCATCATCTGGGTCCCACATCACCTTGCTGAGGCAGGAGAGTGCACCAGCTACTAATAGCAACGTCACACATTTTGTCAATTAACATCTCTGATAAAGCAAAATCCTAGGAAACATGAATGCAGTGCCTGTTGGTATTTCATTAGTCCATATCAGTTTGTGCTGCTTGCCAGTTTGTTAATAGGTGTTCAGCCTGTTCCTGGGTGAAGTTCATACCAAAGACAAATGCATAGGGCTGAGGATGACTTGCTATTCACTCCAATGCCATCTTAAATGTTGAAGTAGATAGTGAAAAGACCTCCATTTGAGTGGAGTTACAAATCAGAGACCTCTGGACAAAACATGACAAGGAAGATTATTTTTATTCTCTACCAAAAAAGCTTCTTTTCTGCTCCTTAAACACGAAATGTGGAAACCAACATGGGTGGTGGACCCCTTGCCTGAGGATGCTGACAGCCTCAGGGCCATAGCTGCACTTCCTGCTCTCTTGTTTTCAGAAATGAGGTCCTAGGGGTAGGGCTGGCAGTTTTCTCACGCAGAGCCAGGATGGGGCTGGCTGCCTTTAAAAAAAATCTCAAGGAAATTCAGGAGCAGCAAATTCTGCTGCTCCATTTTGAGCAGGTCTGTGGTTGCGCCGGCACTCCTGGCGTTCCCCTGCTGTTCCAGCCAGCCCAAGTTTTGAAAGGTGGTTTTGTGACTAGCAGAACATCACGAGTGCCAAGTTCAGTCTTTGAACAAAAATATCTACCTAGAAAACTTGTTTCATTGGAAACAGGGATGTTATGAACTCCAAGGAGGGCCTGCCTGCCCTGAGCAGGCTCCTTGCTGCCTGGGCAGTACAGCAGCGGCTGGGGAGCAAACTTGGTGCTTGTGGCTGCTGGGGAGGAGGAGGAGAGGGCAGAGCTGGGCAAGCCATCTGCTGGGGCTGTTCCCTGTGTGGTCCCACTGGTCACAGTGTCCCTTG